TTGCCTCCGCCGCCGCCGCCGCCGATTTTTGCTTTTTATCTATCGGGCTGCAGCTTGTTGTCAATTCGAAAAACCATGCAAGAGACGAAGGCGGTGCATGAGAGAGCTGCACTTCCGGCGCAATATAAAATCACGACTTCCTTTCCAATGAGTTTTGCTCGCGCGCCAGCCGTCTCTGCCTCCGCACTCGGCAAAATTTTCGCAAACTTCGCCAATGTTTGCTTTCAGTATAATGAAATTATAGAAAGATAATCGGAGAGGCGATGAAATTGATACATCATATGCAGCTCGGTTTCTGGTTTGTATGCAGCGCTGGGCAAAAAAATAGAGGAGAAACGAGTGGGCTGGTTGACCCCTTTGCCAGGCGTCAAATTTGTCCCTCTTTCCAGTCGCTAGCGGTCGTGAGATTTGACTCTGGCCACGCCTATAAAACTAGCCGCCATAAAGGCGAACCCTTTGGAATTATCTTTCGGCGAGGTTTTTTCGGCTGTATATAATAGAGGAGAAGACGGCTGCGGCTGAGTTGTACATCCCGTGCTCAATAAACAGAGAGTTAAACCTTACATCTTTTTAACGTTGGACCTGCAACAAACTTAGATTATTAGTAAAATAAAAATGAAGAAACGTTAGTTAAATTTGATTAAATTCAATCATGAATCATGATAAATATGTATTGTACTTGCAATGCATGTGGAATTTTCAATTAAATAATTATATATAAAATATCCATATAATACCGACAAATTTATTTAAAATTTGACTATAGATTTATGAAAAGCATGACGAAAATTTTGTTTTAAACAAATTTTTGCAAATAAAAAAACCAAGATAGAAGTTAATTAATTTTAAATAATTAAAACCAAAATTTTGCAAGGTTAATAAAATAATTACTACAAAATGTATTTTTTAAATTAAAAAATAGTAAATTAAAGACATGTTTTGTAGGTTTAAACAAATATTTTATTATGAAATTAAAATAGACGTATACATAGAACTTAAATATATAATTATAAATTCTAAAAATTGACATTGTAATAAAAAAAAAACGCTTTGGAAAATTGAAATAGTCCTGTTTAAATTAAAATTTTTGAACAAAGTTTGCGGATTTGAGATTTCACACAAAACATTTTGTGGAAAGTTATGAAAAACTAATATTGATAATGAAACAAATTAAATTAATAAATAATGAATTGCTGCAAATTTTAATAAAGATTTTGTTGTTGTTGTTAAAAATCTGTTTTAACCGAGTTTAAGTGGCTAAAGTCGCGTTTTGTCGCATATGCAAAGTTACAATTTTAGATTAGGTTAACGCTGATTTTCCTCAATCTTGCCGTTTTTCCTCCATATCAACACACAAAATTCCCCGCTCTTGTAATCTGCGACCACACTGCCCGCAAAAACTGAATGCGAGAACTATTTATCTGATTTACCCATTTCCGTCAGTTGAGCAAAAATCGGTTGGTTTCCTGCGACTTGCGGACAAATTCACGCTTGCAAAAGCCGCGAATCGCGCGTTTCCCAGGTTTTCCGTGCGGAAGTAGCCAATTAGCGCGAGGCGACGCGATAAAAATTGTGGGCGCCAAACAGCAGCAGCCTTTGCTGTTCACTTCAGCAACGAGTTGTGCTAAAAATCACGTAGTCTAAATAACAAAGATTGCGCTTCTACCAAATGAGCATTAAAGCGGGGAGAATCCTTTTTAAAATGTTTTCACTAAAACGTTATAATTTTCTCAACTCTGCGCAGAATTTTATATCATTACACAAAATAAAAATTAATCTGTAATAATGTATTTATAGCAATGTGGATAGATGAAAAACAATTAATATCTATAAATTAATAGGACTTAATATTTGCCAAGTTTCTGAGAGCTAAAATATTGCTTTTAAAATGCGAGTTTTTCTAATACAGCCAACAAAATATTTGACTTCTTGAAATAATTTCCTTATTATTAAATTTCAAGGTTCGTTCTATGATTTCTAAACTTGCATACTTGTAAAAACCCTTACGAAAGAAAATACCGCATTTTTCTGCGGGTTGTAAATCATGAAAAAAATATGTCTCCGGGGTTGTTTCTGACTTAACTCGCTCAGCCCTGATCCCAAGCATGCCTTGCACGTTGTTGCATGAACCACCTCAGGTTATTCGTTTTTTGTTGTCATACGCTGCAGAGGTTAGTGACCCAAAAGGGTGACTGCACTTAACAGCACCCGGCAGATGGTTATTGCGGGTGCGTTTTGCCCTTTGTGCCGCCCCTTTTCACTTGACAAAAATAATGTGCTCTCTTTTGTGCCCGACACGAAATTGCACCTCTGAAGCGCTGCCGCGCGGTCAAAATTTCGCCCCGAGCTGCACCCTTTCGCGTCTGAGAATGCGGCAGAACAGAACTGCGGGCATTATATGACTTGCTCAGCTTCCTTTTCAATAAAACTACCCCTAATAACTCTCGGAGATTTTTGAGTCATCGCCATAAATTTCCTGAAAAGTAAAACAGATTTCGTGTGAAGGCGTTCGCCCTTTATGAACGGCACATGGATTTGCTACCGGCGAAAAGGATGGAGAAGAAAATGCATTTTTTACAATCAACAATGGAATCAAGTTCTTTTATAACTATAGCTCACACTGAAAAGATGCTTGAATGTTTTCTAAAGGATGTTGTTTCTCTCTTTATCTAAAAATTCTGTTTTTTTTTTTTTAATATTGAAGCCACTTTAATGAGGAATCTGCCATTAAATGAACAGAAATTTTTTCATAAAAATATAAATTTAATATTCGGCATTAAAAAACATTTCGTGTAATTACAATATTTTTTAATTGTGAAGTTATATTCTTAAAAAAATAAAAAAAATTGTAGAGTTGAAAAGCAAACAAATTATCAATACCACACTTTCCACAAAAAGTGCAGTCTAAATGCGCTTGGCCAGTATCTCCCCTTACCGCAAATATAGGCGTTTGAGATAAGAGATAGGTCTCTGGCTCTGTTTTTCTCCACAGCACAGCAGGCGATTATTTTCCCCACCGTGCACTGTTCTATGTAATAGTTTTTTGCCACATCGAAAGCGAAAGGAAAAGCAGTAAAGGAGGAAAATAAAATGCAATTCATAAATAATTTCATGAAGGGCACACAAATCACATGATGCTGAAAAAATCAAATCACGCGGCGAGGACACGATATGAGCCAGACGATAATGCCAAGTTGCAAAGTACAAATGCAAAAAGTCAATTTTGCGCAGCACAAGCAACAGCACCGGACTGACCTTCTTTTGAATTATTCAAAAATATTTGTTACAATAATTATAATAATTCCATTTTCATCAAACAAAAATAATATTATAATGTACCATTAATCAAACGTTTATTTTTGGCACGCGACTGTGCTACCCCCCTCCACTTTCAAAATTGCAAAGGTAGTTTAGGCACATATTTTTTAACCTTTTCGGTTGTTTTGTGCAAACTCTATTTTTAGCGTTTGTGTTTTTGGATCGCTACGCCGGTCCGTGCCTGCTGTAAATATTGCAAGAACTGATTACGAACAACGGTGTGGTATATAATATACTCACTGATAAAGCAGATCGCTCTTTAAAAATAGCTAATTATTTATTCAAGCGGTCCGTCGGTATCTCTCTTTACTCGTCGTGGCCTCCCCTTGTCTCGCGCACCGCCTCTTTCCGAATCGAATAAACATAATTCGCCATATTATTTATTCAAATCTGGTACTGGCCTTGTTTGTCGTTATCATTGCATTGCAAAATAAAGTGACACAACCATACTCAGCTCAAGCAAAACTATATTGGTGCACTTGGAGGACTTTGCTAAAAACATTTTTCCGCTGTATTAAATTTATTGATGGAACGCAATTAATTGTATTAAAGTTTAAATTTACCTTTGAAAGTTATAACTAAATTAAAACATTGCAATTTCTGGTTTTTGTTTTCCTAAAAATAGTTCAACAATCTTTTAGTGGGTGCGGTAAATAATTGCTCTGGTATTTGCAAGAAGTCACGTGTTACCATATATTTTTGCACATTGCGCGTGGCTATTTACAAAAACAATCTAGCGTTGTTTAGGCAGTGTGCAAAATTTAGAAACAGCAGCTGCTGAAACCGTCATTCCTCTGTGTGCGTAAAAGTTTCTTTGAAAACAATCCAAGTTTGAACAGCAAAATTCGACACACTGACCTGCCGAAAAGCATTGGTTCTTTTGAAACACCACGAAAAACCCTCTCGTCCGGGAAACTGTGGTCACAGATCCAATGCAAAACAAAAACTTTGAAATAAAAACCACAGCAAAATCCTGTTAAGCACCCATTTATATATATTATAAAAATTAATAAAAAAAGCTTTAATCTGACAATATTTGCGTGCCCCTGAAATGTAATTATAAAACTGCATGAGAGACGTTTTATATCTCTTTTTTGCTCTCGATCGGTCAAAGGTTGGTTATGCAGTCAACGACCGTGCAAAATGCTGCGAATAAGCATCGCTGCAAGACCTTTCTACACTCGTCGGACATTGCGACGGCGCCGCTAGTCACGTTGTGCGTGTCGATAAGGCCGAGAGCTCGTCGGGTCCGCAATAAATCTCTTTAAACTGCACTCAAGGTCTTTCGAATTAAATTCGCATACTTTTTTATAAGATGAAAAAAAAACAAGAAACTGCGCAAAACCTGTTGGCGAGCGGAGGCGCAACACCCTCTATTAAAATTAGGAAAAAGGGATAAAAAGCAGTTGATAGAGGACCGGTGGGCAGCTGGCAAGATGACAAGGTGTCCATCAGGAAGTCTGCCAAGTCTCTCTCGGAGGGGAAGCAGCGACGGAGATGCATATCTTTGGGAGAGGCTCCACCGCGGGGAGCGCGGATTGCGAATTCAGCTGCGGGTACAGTCGAGTGCGCCAAGGTCAGCGTTTTGAGCAGAGCCGCGCGAGAAAAAGATCCTCGGCCGCCGCCGTTGGTTGGCAGATTTGTGCTCTTGCAACGTGACGTCATTTCAGCATGACGCTTGCTAAAGCGGGGAGCCCCTTCCTCCGTGTTCACAACCGGCGCTTCGTTATCGTAGGTCGGTGCTGGCTGCTTTCAAGTAAGTAAGGCATAGCGAATATAACTGCACGACGGCCCTTCTTTCTCCGCCACCGCCGCCGCCGCCGTCGAGAGCTGCAGCAGCCATTAGCAGTTTTTCTTTTCGTACTCAAGGACGTTTTGGCGAACTGCCTTTCAATTGGCTGGGGTGGGGTGCAAGGGGGTAAAGTGGGAGCAACGGCTGCTCTTTCTCTCTCTCTCTTGTTTAATCGCGCGCCGATTATTTGCCAACGCGACTTTACATAATTCGCTCTGAGCCGCCGCAGCCGCCGTGTGCAACCTTTCCGTCTGCTGTCTGCAACTCGCGGCGATTCGCACCTCCGGTGACCGACCGCTGTGCGTCCACCTTCGGGACCCTCGAACGCATGTAGTTGTCTGTCTCTCGCCCCCGACCGACCGCTGTCTGCTGGACAATTCGCAACCCTTCGCAAATCTGCATCATGAGTGATCTTTCTCTGGTGAGTCTCCTAAAAAGTTTAAATCCTCCTTAGCACTAGCCATTAATTTGCCACTTCGGTACGCAAAGAAATTGCTTTCAAACTATGCTTTTCTAACCACACGAACACAAATTTGCAAAAATTAAGTAGTCAATTTGAGGGTTCAATAAGAGTGGAGCGAAAATGCCTTCTTTTACTCGTTCTGCTGTTATTTTTATCAGCCGAGTTTTTCTTTATTTTGCAAATTTTTTGAGAAAGGTTTCATTCTTCTAGCGATGTTTTCGTTTTGATTAAATTTTGCAAACAATTAATGGAGTATGTAATATATATTCATTCTTGGCATTTTGTCCGTTTTATTAACACTGAAGGTGGAGTTTAAAGTTCATAAACTCGGCGGAGGCATCGAATAACGACCTGCCTGTCTAGTGCATTTTTCGCCCAGTCGTCGGCGCGGCGAATATCATGTTCTCGTGCGCACGGTTTTTGCTCGTGTAAAATCAGACACTGCAACTGCTGGTGGCGTAGGTCAAGAATCGAGCAAACCCCTTCCACCGCGAGCCTATAACAGTTGCCGCCACTGTGTTCTGCTTTCACAATACTCTGGCTGCAAGATGCAATTAAAATTTATGCCAACGACCTGCTGCGATAAATGCACTGAACCTACTAGTTGGCTGATTTAACACATCCTTTTTGCGCGAGTGCAGCACCGTCGCACACATCACGCTTTTCGCTTCGTGCTCAATTCGAGATAATGTGTCTGTACATACGTGCATTGAAATGCAATGCGATCTCATTTTTTATTTCGCCAACTTGTCCTGCGACTTTGCACTTTGCTCGCTTCCAGCGTGAATTTTTTCAAGTGTCTCATGCGTACTGAAAAAAGTGTGACAGTGAGATTCCGATAATTTTAACACTTAAAAAAAGGCAAAATTTAAAATCGCATAACTTTTCAAGTATTTTGCAAAAAAAAATTGTAAATTACTAAAATTAGCTAAAACGATTATTCTAAAATCTTTCAAATTGAATTGAAACCTTATATGAGTCTGTCTGAAAAAGAAACAAGCAATTAGAAAGTTGTCATTGCAGAATTTCTATCGAGCAATGCCTTGATAGCGCGTTATAAACAAAAGCGACCGCATTAGAAGGCGTTTTATAATTTTTATCAATGAATAAACATTGCCTGCTTTTTATCAGCGCTTCCACGCAAGGAAATTTTCGGCGCTTTTTGTAAGCAGAAGCTGCGTTAATTTTTTCGAAAACAACAAGTTCTTGACCCAAATTTTATTGCTATTTTTGAAGGCAAATAAGCTCTCAAAACTTCTTTCCATAAACTTTAATATTTTATTCCATCCTACCAATTTGCGCGATCATTCACATTTTCTCTTCCGGTCCGTTTCTTTTCGTATACCATTACCCACTTTGGAATAAATCTTGAGTCCGTGCTGAATTATAATTCCCTGTTATCTCACTCTAGCGCCGCATGAGACATTTTTAATAATATAAATATTAAATTGGAAGTCGACACATCGCGTGCGGCTTTGCAACTATTACGACCCCCGTCGTCGTGACATTTCAAACCCCTTTATCAGTTCGGCACACCCTGCCAAAAAACGTCGACCGCGTGTTAACGATGCAAGATCGATTGAGGAATTTCGAAGCTGCTCACCGCATATCTAATTTAATGACACAGAAAGCCAAATTTTCACAATGACGGTGATGATCTACTTCTCCAATTTGCATCTTGAGTTGATATACCAAAACTTCATTAATCTAGATAATTAATTTCATAATTGTTCTGCAGGAGATAAGAAGCAATTTAATTAAAAGTAATGGAAAAAGATTTATAGCCTTGGGAGAACAGTATATTAAAGTTCTACGTGCAAAAGAAAATTTTGATGGACAATTTTTATAAAAATACGCTTTGGTGTTATCAGATTGTTATGCAAATTTGTGCGGCATAAATTCAGTGCTATTTCTTCGTCTCATTTCGTCCCCTGAAAATGCTGATTTATACCAAAATTACTATTCCTGAAAATGCAAAACGGCCGCGCCGGTGCTCATTATCATTCGGGTGTTCTTAAACGTTTGGAGAGATAACGAGGTGCTTTAAATTATCGCTGTGGACGTCGACTTGGCACTGCGGAATACTCAATGAGTAAGCATTGCCACTTTTTGAGCGGTCACGGAAGAATACGGTTCGGAGACACAATCTCCTCCCTTCTCGCGACGACTGACCTTTTTATTCTCTTGAATTAACCACTCTTTCTTCGCTAACATGCATATCGCGCTCCCGTATTTTAAAATATGAGAGAATAAATGATCGTGTATTTGCATGATTTGGCTTATGCATTGCACATTTGCACGCATATGCTAAAAATGTGTCATTCTTCACGGGGGTTGATTGCTAATTAATTTCCAAAGTGGACAGAATTTTTTTTTCCAATCTTTCGTTTTTTTTTTAATAACAATAATTTATATGAAAATAAAAGTTTGCATTTCCAAAAGGCGTGATAGTACATTGAGACTCGCAATAATGAAAAAACTTGCCATATGTTAACATCCAAAAAACGATAGCCACAGAGCCACCCCCTAAACCGAAGCCGCAAAAAGTCTACAAGGACCCACGAACTCCACCGCTTACCAAATGTGTGATGTTTGCTAGTCTAACCAGATGGTTTCAAAGTATATAATTCATTTATAGCCATACCATTATTTTCTTCAAAGAGAGTTTATTTAGTTCATATTAAAGTAAGCAATCCTCATCAAGAGAACGCATCTAAGTCCAAGGAGATTGATTTTTTTATATATGTGTGATGTGATGATTATAAAACATTGGGAAAATTAACCTTATATTTTTACTTCAAACTTGCTTTTTTTATTTTTGTTTTGAAAAAGATTACCTAGTGCGAATTTAGTTTTATGTTCTGAAATATTATAAAATTTATAAAAATAACTGAAAATGATTTAAAGTCCAGGATCAATATTAAAAAAAAAGAAAATAATAGTATTATCTTCATAAAAGACACACAAAATAATTATATTTTTATTCCAAATTTATTGTTGTTAAAATTTGGAAATTTCCACGGCAATATTAGATTCCGCTGCGGTCTTAATTGCACGTAAAGAACCATTATTTTTCATGCATTTCACAATTAAATGAGAAAATAGAAAACGTTAGATGCAAGTTTGCTGAGAGGACAACAGCATATTATCGCGCAGCGACTGCGTAGGAGGACTTTGCGCCTGGGGCAAATAAGGTGTCTGAAAAGTCATCATATAAATCGACACCAATACATTGTGCAATTTGTCGCTGTCGGTCAATAAGAGCAAAATCCGCAGCCTGTTTACTTTTGCTCATTCCAATTGAAGAGGAAATCGTCGGCTGTCGCTACACAAGCTGATTGTGTTGCACCCTCGCTATTACACTACACACCTAAATTTGCGTGCGAATTGAAAAAAAAACATGACTTTCTCGTTTGCAAAGATAAAATAATAAGTTTAATTTGAATTGAAAAATTTATATATTAAAAAGCTTACAATTAATAAATTTTATGGAATAAAATAAAATCCTGTCAATTTATTTGCAAAATAAAAAAAAAATAAATAAATAAAAATATAAATAACGTCATAACAATGGATGGTCTCAAAGCTCGTCTTTCTTTAATGTTTATCAGCGGCAAGCAGTGCTTCATAAAGTGACCACCGCCGTCGAACCACGTGACTGTTTTCTGGAAAACACTATACTGTGGCGGCATGTCTGAAAATCGACCAAGGCAGTAAATATTAATTGATCTGGCAGGCAAGCAAACCTCTTTTCCTCGCGGAAAATGGCCTGACCGGCGGGTGACGTGTATCGGAAAAGTTTTGGCCGCTTCCAGAAAATTAGTTAAGCGCGCGGGCGGACGACGAATGGCGAGTTGAGAGGTGGAACTTGTGGCGGTGCGTGAAATTATTGTGCACATTAAGTGCGCATGACACAGATTGGTTCGGTCGGAGTGCCAGTGTTTTTGACAGGACTGACCCACAAGGAGAAGTGCCGACGACCAAGCAAGCTGCAAAGAAACACTATCCAAAATTTGCTCCCGAATTCAGCCAGTGAGTAACATTGCAGAATTTGCACACTTTCAATTTCTATGCAAAACTTTATTATGCAAAATTTTGCGTGACCATTATTTGTTTATTTCAAATCTGGAAATAATTTGCAATCTTTATAAAGGAGTTTTTTCTATTATTATTTTTTTTTTATTTTTAAAATTTTCTTTTATAACGAAATAAGATAAAACTGAAATTTTTTAAATTTCTTATCATGCATTTTTATGACACAACTGAGAGTTCTAGCATTTTTTTAAGTGGATGAATTTTAAATGTACAATTATGAGAGTTAATTACATACCCTTATTTTCGCCACCTTCTGATATTTTAGTCGATGTAAAAAGTAATTGGGTTTGTTTGCAATCAAGAGGAAATGTAGGACTTGTTTAACCAACCGGTTTTGATGAAGTCGAATAGGGATGGCAAAGCGATTTTGCCCTAGCGGATGACGGCGCGGAAAATTATTTGTTGTTTGATAGTGGTTGGCCGGTCAGAGGCGGCGGGTCGGTCGACCGAAGAGGGCCACGCACGCACTTGTGATATTCTTCGGCTCCCTCCAACGTGCGTTTTTCCTTTTCTGGTTGGCGGCCAGCAATGACGTGCAAAAACGAAACTTGCGTGACGGAAAGTTAAAAACTTCGTTGTTTAATTAAAAAAATGTATATCTGCCGACCTTCTAAGAAAATGAAAAGCATACAATTCTTATACCACAATTTATTATTTGCAACATGGGAAACAAAGGAAATTTCTCTTGCATATATCAGTTTTTAAAAAAGTTTGCAAATTACTAATAAAAATGTTGGATTCTATTTTATTTTTTTGTTTTTTAAGACATATTGAAAAACAAACGGGGTTAATAAACTAAAATTAATCGGCAACTTCTTTTATAGAAATATTGAGTGCCAGCAACTTAATCTAAATGCCGCACA